TAAAGTGAACAGGACCCCGAAAGCATCACATAAGAGAGAGGACCACCTTGATAAGGCAATTTGTGGCGGCTCCTCTTCTGCCTGGGTTTATGTTTTGTGTGGTCGATTGTCGGGAATCAACAAGCCTCTGTCATCCATGTACACATAGGTAATAGCTTATAACTACTTATATATATCTTTGATCCCTAAGATCACATTGTTCAGTGCTGAAAGATCCCAAACACTTCTCAGTTGATGATATTTCTGCACTGACTCAGACATACAGGAACACCTCTCTACTTCCTGATGCATAAGACTGGTTATAAACAGTGCTTATAATATAGTAGTTCTCTTGACAGAGCTATTGGTGGGCGCATATTTGCCAAAGGTCCGTTGTGACCATGACCGCAGGGCTTGATGGATACATATTTCTTCAAATTTGCCGATGTATAGAAAGCACAAGATACGTTGACAGGCTACAGACTCCACATGATACAATATACAACTGCAAATTCAAGACTACCAGCAATCCTTGCACCATTCAATGAGGACTGTTAGAATGAGGTCTCGCATCGCCGGTTTTCAGATGCACTGCGTCGTTTGTCCGAATCAGGCAAGTGGTCTACAGCTCGCGTCCTCAGATTTTGCTTGATACATTTATCAAAGGTATAGTGTATGTCCTACCACTTCAAAAAGTATGTAGACCTGTGCTAGAATGCTACTCAACGGTACAGAAAAAGATTCAGATTTTAATACAGCTCTGGGAAGTCGCAAATAGAAAGTGCACGCAAAGCGTGCAAGAAAGTGAAAATCGGGACCCCGTAAACTTGGAAAGGGACAACGACAATAGGGTTGACGTCGTCGGTAATACCCGCGTTGGCCCCTTGTAAGTAATATACCAGTACCGTCGACTCACGGTATAGGTACTGCTCCAATCTGATACATGCTCGAACAAATGAAGTCCCAATCAATGCAGAAATTTCGAGGCTCTGACTCTCGGTGTACCATGGGTGGATGTACCCAAGTCAAGTAGGATTGTCTTGAATGGCTTGGCTTATCATCCTCGAGCAGTGCTGTCAAACCATCTAAGCGTCGACCACTCCCCATATCGGAGCACGGGGGAGATGAATTTTATGCTGCATATATACGAGCCTTTAGATTCCAAGACTCAACGGCTCGTACGGTCGAGCGAAGTCAGGAGCATCTGAGTCAGCGGTCAGGAGGGCGCTCGCACTACCCCGAAACATGGCTGGCCTCGTCTTGTTAGGTTGGTAATCGTCTCGTATCCCCAGCTTCCGTTGGCCTATATTCCGCTGCCAGGACACCTATCCCTTCAGCGAACGAGAAAAATCAATTCTGTTATCTGCCTTTCTTGACAGACACAGTTGAGCAGCCGTGGGCAATCGGCTTACACCATCGGATAGCCCCATGCCAGAGCTGAATCGCGTGCGGCGGTTCGTGCCCGCTGGATTATAGTCAACAACGTGGGGGTATACCGAGCACCTATAATGCTGAGAGGCCAGCCGACCATCCCTTCCGGGGTAAGCTCCAGAACAAACAGAAATGAGCTGATTGGCCTGGCTATGAAATGGCGCGCACTCCCATGTGTTCCAGAATCGTGCGTGCTGACGGAACTGGATGACAGGAAGTTCCTCTCCATCGATATCAGGCAACGTGTTTGCGTACAATAGACCTGCAGATGATGCGGTGGTGGGGAGGGTGCCAAGATAGAGCCACGACGCCTTACCGAAGGACTAAGCGCCTTGCGCAGGGGCGTGCGGGCCGTAGGTCTGGTCAAAGCGTCGTCACCTCGTGCAGAGCATTGCTGAGGAAAAGAGAATGCGAACAAATTGCGTGACAGTTCAAGCACCCGCTGATTGTGAAGGAAACCGCCGTGGATCCAGCGGGCGGGCTCTCGCGAGGTTATCTGAGGATTCAAGGGTTGGTTGATAAGGATCTAGCAGAGAGTCCAGCGGACAAAAACTAGTCTTGCTGAGCCGGATTATTAGATTTTGAAACAGCATGTAAAGTAATGTTTGTGAGGCAAAAGGTATCTCGGGAATGAATTAATTCACGAGGCACTCAGTGCGGCAATCTGTTGAGTTGGCGGAGGTTTGGGCGCGTCGGTGTCGCGACACGCGGGCATTCCTACACAACACTTTTCACTTTGACTGCCTCTACGTATAGTCTGCTGAACTCACTATGCCAGGCACTAAGGCCGTTCGAGGAAGACCAGAGCCGAAGAGGCCCGTCTCGGTACCATTCAAGCATAGTCGGAGTGGCGCGCGAAATTGAGCCAGCCTGAGCCGCTCGTCCCCCCCACCATCCGGTATGCGCTTTGAACTGCTTCTTGCTGCCACTGTAAGCCACAGTTCCTTGGTTTATTGCATCTCCGACGTTACCTTGACGAAGGGTGGCCCTAAGCGTAGTGGAAGCTGTGGTTCAACCAGCGCTTGGACCGACCAAACATGGGGACCCACAAAGACACACAGCAGCCTAAAATGCCTTCAGCGCTCCCCTCGAGTCTCGTTGTTCCACGAACGATATCAACCCCCCATACGCTTGAGCATTGGCCTATTTTCGCGTCCCAACACTTTCCCCCGTCGCCGCCGCCGTCGCCGTTCACCATGGCGGGACCCTCGCGTACTCAGACCGTCCAACCGCCCAGGCCACCCAACGCGTGGATATTATATCGCTCAGACAAGCTGAAGACACTCCCTCCAGTGCCCCCTGGTATGCCCCGTCGCGCGCAGGCCGACGTGTCCCGCGAGATTTCACTCATGTGGAAGAACGAACGCGAGGAAGTTAGGGCCCAGTACGAGCGTCTGGCGGAGGTACGCAAGGCACAGCACCAGAACGCGTACCCAGGATACAGGTACCACCCGCTCAGTAAGGCTGAGAAAGAAAGGCTGAGGGAAGAGAGGAGGCTGGAGAAGGAGAAGGAGCGTAATACGTCGAAGAAGACGCGCTCTCGACCCGCGCCTTACACGTCTGGCATCGTTGTGCCGTCGTTCCAGTACGGCGCGTCGTACCCCTCCGGGACGCAACATGGACCTTGCGGTCCATCCCCGCCTCTATCGGCGGCACCATCTCCTACCGATTCTACATTCGCCGGGCTTCCGCCCATCTTCGACCCACAGCCGCAGCCGTTCATACAGGGACAAAGGGAAAGAGCGCCGTTCGTCTCTAATGATACTCTCGCGTCCGCGAAACCAAGGCAGCCGTCAGAGCGACCTCCTTCTAGTCGGGCATCGTCGCATTCTTACGCGTTTGCGCCACTCGATGCCACGCCCACCGCAGCCAACTCACCCGAGAGCCTACCTCAACAGACAGCCACTCCTGCATCCAGTTTATGGCAATTGCCGTCGACTCCAGCAACATCGGCTCCCACACCGAACGCCAGTAACTCCACGATGTGGCCCGAGCCCACTGCCACGGAGAATAACCCTTCCAACGCGACTTCGCCTCTGAACGGCCATACTAACTGGTCTGATATGAATTCGAGTCAAGAACAGAATCAGGATATGTCTTCTGGATTGACTCCAGTACGCCCTCCATGCACTTGCTTCGCCCTCTGTTGTACTGACGCGTCATGTAGCCCATGGTGGAGTTCCAGATTGACTCTGGCAGTGCCACGAGTGTACATGGATGGGCACCTGACGGTTCAGAGGCGAACTATGAGTTCCAGGATGCTTTGCAAGCGCTCGTATCCGGTACTGGCGATCCATCCATCTTCCAGCTGAATGTCGATCCTGAGCAGCTCCTTGCCAATCCCACTAGCCAGATCGAGTTATCATTTGGGCAGACTGTTCCATCCTTGGATTCTGACCAGTTTGCCCAGCTCTTCGCCTCTGACTTCAGTGGCTTCAACAACATGTTCGGTCAGCAGGACCACTACGGCGATGCTGTACCTTTGTTCTCTATGCCCCCCGCATCTACAACCGACACCAACCCTCACGGATCGCACTCGCATTTCTCCGTAGGGATGGACGCGTCCACATCGCACCAACCCTCGTATGGGACGACCTCAGCCGATCTATTCCAGCAGTATGTTGATTTGGGAGGAGAACCAAGTAATAGCGCGGGCCCTTCGCGCTCAGCCTCGCAGGAATACCCTCCCCATTCTGGGTTCGCCTCTGGTCATTCCACACCTACTATTCCGACTCCCGTGCGTGCAGCGTCTCCGCCACCTTCGCAGCCTTATACTCCTCCCCCGGGTGCAGTTCATGCTTCTCGACGGCACGTAGGTGCCAGCTGGAGGCCTAGTGCCCTGGGCATGCCCGACTCGCCTGTCGAGAGGTCGCCCTCAGCCACTTGGGAAGTTCCTGCGAACTAGGTGCAAGACCTTGCTAACATGCATTGACGACTCGTCACGAGGCATATCTGCCGTCTATCCTCTAATACCTCCGGTCCTCGCATTCCTTAACCCAATGACTTATAGATTTCGGGCCCTTCCCGGACCCTTGTACGACTCTCGTCGCCCGTTCCCCTCAAGCACATCTGGCATTATTCGATGTATTATACCAAGGCCTTTCTCGGACGGACCTGCTGCTATCTATTGCTTTCCGCCCGATGCCCTCCAGCACCCCTCTATGTTTCCCGCCCCTTCTCTTCGGCTTCGGTGCGGATCTTTGGACGTGCTCACTTACAAATATCTCTTCATCTCATTTTGTGCTGTTACGGGAAGTGCACAATCTAAACGCATCTATCTTATACGTATACATGTGCTGTACTTTTTACTACCTCATTCTTGGCCGTCCTTTGGGTTCTGTAGGCAGACTCGGAGAGGCGACAGACGGGTTTCTGCGTTTCGTCCGGTACTTACTTGCGGGCTCGGGGGTGTGTCTGTAAAATGGGATTTTGTTACCCTAGTCTGTAACATTGCAATGCATCGAACAAATTCAATCCGAGTTAGCGCGTGTCCTCTTTCCCCGACGCCACGATCACCTGAATCTTCCTCGCGCGTATCTCGTGGGCGCCGGTGGACTCACAAGAGATAAACAATGCACAGATCCTATTGTGTGTGTGCTGCGGCTGTACAGCATTGTCACGAGTTTGGGTGAAGGGCATGAGAAGGGGGCCTAAAGATAGCGGAGGCCGCCTCGTTTTATGTTCGGATGACTGGACTCTCGTAAGGAAGACAATGGGGCGGCAGTCGGCCGTCGGGCCACGAGGAGATGCGACTTTGCAGAGATCAAGGAGAGACGTGTTTTGCTACGCAGTGTGTTTTCGATACAGGCACATCATACATACTGGGCGAATGGACGGCATTACTTGCCTGTGGAACTTCGTACAGACGTTTAACTGTAGCACTGAGAATTAAATTCCTGGCATATCACGCAAGATGGTATACAATGCGCTGTCAAATCCGATTACATTCTATCCGTACAATATTCAGGTCCTCTCGGTATAAATACAGATATCAGCAATCTAGAGGTTGCGGTTGACGTCCTGCTGGGCTTGTCCCTTGTCGTGGCGGATATTGCCTAAATATAACAATATGAGCAAGCCTGCTCAAGAGTAGTCCATAGATCCGACGAACTCACCCTCTGCCTGCTGCTGCTTGTCGCCAGTGACGGCGCCGACGACGGCGTCCTTCTTGCCGGTGACGCGGTCAATGGCGCCCTCGGCGTAGCCCTTGGCCTTGGCAGCGTTGTATTCCGCCTCGCCAGCAGCATGCTCCTGCTGGCCGGATTGTTGCCACGAGGTGGCGCCGGTCAAGTTGCCAACCTGAACATTACGATTGCGTTCAGCGATAAGCCAGATGTACGACGAGGGGAACTTACGGTTTCGACGACGTTGCCCTTAACGGAGTGGAATTGACCAGTGGTCTTGTTGGGCTCACCAGTGTTGCCGGACATTATGAATAAAGATAGGTGGTTAAGTGGTAGAGCGGTTGTGGTGTTCGTAAGAGAGTTGGGTCGTAAAACTGTGAGGAGCACTTGCGGCGACCCGACCTCCTTATATACTCTGCGTCTAGGCGGACTATCACATGTGACATGAGAACGTATGATGTATTTCTGGCTGGCGTTGTGGAGTGATGTTCCGGTGTTGCGTTGGGGCAGGACGATGACGATTCTGCGAGAGGTGACGCGGTGACGAGGAGAGCGCGCCGACAGCCATATCCAACGCGACGCGAGATGACATCACGGTGACGCGTGACGTCATCTTTAGCCACCGCAAATGGCTCCCGTGGTGGCTGGGCCTCGACGATTGCAGAAATGCATACCTTCGAATCAACTGTTGAGCGGATGTTATTGTAACAAATGCGAGGCACCTGGAGCGACATATGCATCTTACGACGGAGGTCGTTGCTGATCTTTCAGTGAGTGGAATCTCGGCATCATGTTCTATGTCAACTACTTATCTGCTCATCTCTCTATCTCGTACTGTATTCCAGCCGCATCTATCATAGATGCACCGTGCGAGTGACTCTTTTCTGACATATATGCTGTCTACGGGCCCACCCCTCGAACTCATGGTCTCCACTGAGGGGACTCAAGAGGGGGTACTTAATGTCTGCAGCTATGAAGCTCGGGTTTCTGATGAAATCCGGATCCTCGACCTGATCCCATTCCTCGCGAGGTAGAAAAGGAAAGTCGTCGTCGATGTACTCGCAGCTCTGACGGTTGGACCGCATTTGTCCCGACACCGCATGGTGTAGTTACCGGAGCAGGATAACTCAAGTTATAATTAACACTAGCGATGATAGATGAGGTGACCAGGTGAGAAGTCGCAGCTCAGCTATATAGAAGCCGCGGTGAATATGAAAGAGCTCTGGTTTGCCCTAGTCGACGTCCCTGGTCCTCGCCTCAACCGCCCCAGAGGCAAGGATGCTGGCCAGACTCGGAGACACGGCAGTCATCGCCTCATGGATTGTTACCGGGATCATTGTCTCGCTTTTGCATGACGCAAGGACAGTCGCGTCCGGCCCGGGAGAGTCAAACGTTGCTTGCACAGCGTACGAGTGGGTACGTGCAGGACCGAACGAATCGAGGGAATGCAGTCCGTAACTGTGTTACCTCTACAGACATACAATTCCCTGCACCAGAGCCCTTGTCTGGTTGCCTCATATCTGCTTAGTGACTGTAGCGCCTCAGGTTAGCCCCGCATATATGCGTCTGAAGCTGCTGTAAGTTGACGCACGTCGATAGTCGTTTCGGTGCCTATGGGCTACTGTGGTTATGCAGCCACGCCTTCCATCGTTGGTTTGGCAGGGCCGTGCCTGTGCAATCTCGTGACGTATAATCTCTTGATGGCCTGCTCTGCATGCCAAAACTGTTCCGTGCCGTCAAGGTGTGCTTAGAGGCACATGCGCTGACCTGGCCGCTTATATATCATACAGCTTGTCTCCCTGGCAGGGCTGGCTAGGGGGTTGCGCTAATACCTCCATCGATTATAATGGGTGGGCCCGGTATTCCCTCTAAACTTCACCCTCGCGCTTACACGGCAATAGGTATCCCCAACCGATACCTCCCGGTACAAGTGTGCCAGCCTGGGCATACTTGCCCCCTGCTGATGTGCGTGACTCGCAATGAATCATCCATCCGTGAACTCACGTAGCTACAGAATGATTATTGGGATGCCAATAATGCTCAACAAGACATCGGTAAGTTTGTCTCAAACAACGAGTATAGTGCCCCCTAACCTGGCAAAAGGTGCTCCGGAATCCACGCCCGGAAGCCAGTCAACAAGCTCCAGGGCGTCATCGACGACCTCCTCAGCCACAACGACGACGAACTCGAGCACGTCACTGTCCACAGCGGCCACCCGTAGTGCATCTACCACGTTAGATACAGCCAGCAGCAGTACGTCTACGAACAGTGCGGGTGACGCAAGCTTTTCTGCGAAAGAGAGAGAAATAGCAGGAGGCGTCGTGGGCGGTCTCGTGGGTATCGCGGCGATAGCTGGGGTAATATTTATCTTGCGAAGAAGAAGGTCACGACATGCGCCGGTCTCTCCTATGGTGAGAGGCGTTACCCCGTCATTGCCGCCCTTGGCAAAGAAATTTTATGTGAGTCGCGCCTAGAGACGCAGACATATCACGGGATGTATTGACTTTTTAGCCCGCAGGATCCCGCTGATCCTAGCACGTATCCGCCGCCCATGGGTGAATTCGAAGAGTTTAACCCTACCGTTCTGATGGGTGTTGATCGCAGTACGCACCCTGGTGTTCCCGAGGTGTAGCAACGCTTTCTTCGACCTTGCCATTCCCGAGGACATACCCTCCTCTCACGAGAGGAGCTTATATATGTGTGCGCTTTTGCAGCGCCTTATAAGATTTTGTATGCGTATCCAGGTCTGTTTCCCCTAAGCATACAATACATCTCCAGGTGTACGCTAAGTATGAAGCCAGCGCTGCTGCTTGCACAGAATGAGGTCAAACGAACGGTTGGTCTGGTGTCAAAGGCATATTATGTGATCGAGGAAGCCCTCGCCGATAAGGCATAGGTGGCATGCCCTTGTGACCTAGGTGCCGTTTTGTGGACATAGCCAGTGGACGAAAAGACAGATGCAGCAACTGCCGGGAGCTCTTGTAAAGCGCGCTTCTAGGTGAAGTTGACCAATTAGAATTTCGTCAGAAGTGCCCATATGTCATCGGCATATGCCGCTTCGCCTTCCGAACTCGTAAGCCACTGCGGCTTGAACGTTAACTCCCGAGGCTCCTGCTAAGCTTGCAATTTCTTGCTCTCGACCAGCATGCGTCCGTCTCTGCTTGCTAGCGTACGAAGATATGCACACACCCAAGCACGTCGACCAGTTAGTGCTGGCCCGTCTCGTCGTTTAACAGCTGCTTTAGCAGGCACCGCCGTCGCAGGCGCATACTTCACCTGGGTGGCCTCGGACGGACAGCGAATAGCTTTGGACTCTTCAAGTACACGTGAGTATTTATCTGCTACTTGAGAAAATCTTAATGTAACATGATCCTTTAGAGAAGCAAGTTCCACTTGCCACCAAAGCGTCTGATTCTATCTCTTCCGCTGTCCAACCTCATACACACACACCGGATGGTTCGGCATCTCCCCCGAAGGCTAAGCAGGAAGCCCTTGATCCTGAGTCAGAACATGCAGAGGACGCTGGAGAATCTGAGTCTTCGGGCGGTGCCTTCAACCCCGAGACGGGCGAGATCAACTGGGACTGCCCTTGCTTGGGGGGAATGGCCCATGGACCCTGCGGCCTCCAGTTCCGGGAGGCCTTCTCGTGCTTCGTATTCTCGGAGCAGGAACCTAAAGGCATCGACTGCATTGAGAAGTTCAAGGCGATGCAGGATTGCTTCAGGGAACACCCCGATGTGTATGGTGAAGGTACGACCGTCGCCGCCTGCTTATTTTGATATTCTCTGACTGCTCTGAAATGTCAGATATCATGGCTGACGACGACGACGACGATGCTGCTCCAGCAAAAGAGCCAGCGTTAGACTCACCTCCCTCGCATGCTCCCTCGACTTCCACCCCCCTGCCGGGTCCACCGGCAACTGACCCCGCTACCTCAACTAGCTCATAGTCAGTCGGCGCTGCCTTCCCCGCCAAAAGTAATCTTAGACTATTTGCCAATACTATAACCACCACTCAGTTTGCTCCCATTGTATCGGTACAATATATCACCTTCCCGTCCTATTTCATCGCTGTTCGACCTGCAGATCCCAATGGAAGCGTGCATGATCAGGTGGTGACATTGCGCTTCCCGTACTACCCGCAAAATACATGGATGACAACAGTGATAATCTACAATTGCAACAGGGAGCGATGGATAGCAGTGCGCACTATGGTGTATGGATGGTATACGTGATTAGTGATGACAAGCCATAGGTGGTAAGAAGATAGTTAGTCCATGCCATACGAGATGCATTGCGAAAACAAGCAGAGATAATGAGAGGCTGATGAGATATATAAGCAAGAAATCCTGGATAGTGCTTCAGTCGGGAGGCATACTAAAGCTGATCCGTTCACATACCTATGTACAGAACGGAATGGCGACCCTTCAACTTGCTGCTGATGACCAGGACGCCCCTGGTGGCCGCGTATTGCTGGCCTCTGGCGACCCTATCTGGAGGAAGGACAGCACCAAGGGTATAGAGCTATTCTTCTGACATAAAAATGTCAATTCCTGGCCAGACCACAGTCGGCATCGTGGCTGAACGTTAACGGCCGTCCCGTCATCATCCTCTGTATCTTGTTCTGCTCCGCTGCTCTCATTACTGAGCTCAACCTCCAGTTTGCCCGCTCCATACTTGTGGTAGATCTGGCTTCGGGATTTTGACCGAGCATGAGAATAGAGACTGCGCCTGGCATTTTGTGCGCGCCCAGGGCTCAAACCGCCATTGGATGCGTGCTGGGGTGAAGACGAGGGCACGAACTTCTGCAAAGCTTTATCAACGCTGGAAGCAGAGGGATGGAAGGGTGAGTCAGATGGTCCTATCAAGGTCTCCTGAAGCACGCGGAAAGCAACGCTCTCGGCAGACCTGTGGAATCTGGAAGGACCCGCCGCCTCAGAATTACTCTGCGCAGCTTGTCGTGCCACCTCGATATGATGTTTCAATGACGAAACCCATTGATGCCGCCAGACGGGGTCCTCAACGCTGAACATGTACTTTCGCTTCTCTCTTTCGTGATTGAGGAATGCGATTTGAAATGTATTCCGCATGAAGGCTCGCTCTACCATCACGGTACTGCTGAGTGGCAGGCCCCAGTACATGAGCGCGTTCGGTCCAGAGCGGCACATGATGATAGTTTTGGGGCCGAGAGAGGTGCCAGTAACCCGGAAGGAGGCCTCGGACAGCTTCGAGAAATTCAAGACTGGAGGATCAAAGATGAGATCTTGACCATAGAGCTGGATCTGCAGTTGCGGGTCGGGTTGCGGTATCCGGACGATGATAGGCTCCGATTGTACCCGGTACGTCAAGCGGGATGGAAGAGGACGTTTGGTAGAGATAGGAAGGTCTGGCTGGTTCAAGGAAGGGTTTCTTGCCTGGGAAAGCCTCTCACGTCGTATGGAAGAATATATTCTCTCCAGCAGATCCTCAGGGACCAAGCCTCTTGCGCGTTTGAAGGCATCCATAAAGTCACGGCTAGTCACATTCCTGCGTGAATATGTGGTGACGCCTACTTCCTGGGCGATCCCACCGTGGAGAACGTCATTTAGTTGCACAATGGCCCTCACGAGACGAATCGCTAGGTCCCTATCGTAAGCCACGATGCCAGCGTTCGCCTCATACCATCGACTAGCAAACGCGTCCAAGAGGTACTCGACCTGAGACGGTCTGGACGGTAAGTGGATCGACATCAAGAATGCACGCAACGCCTTGTCCACTCGGAGGCCGGCAAAGCCGAAACAGTCAACATAGGCCTTCAGAATCAGCTTGGATGACCGCTGGGACAAGTAGTCACCCAAACGGGCTCTGTCCAGATCTAAGGTTCTGAATAGCAACTGACCCAGCGCTATGGAGTCCTCGTGGGTCCCAAGCTTCTCGAACAGGGAGGCGACAGCTTGATACGGGTCTTTACCAAACTGCGGAACGAAAGACTTTATGATGGGGTGCTTTGGCTGTGCAGCATCGTAGGTACCTCGAAGTGGTGGATCGTCACGTTCCGGAGTAAACTGAAGCCGATGCAGCTGCACGACACTCTTGACAATGAATTTCCTGTCCAAGGCCGACGTAGCCATCGGATCCCCTAGCACGTCGCGATCAGGTAAGATGGGCTTGGCGATGACGAGGATATCATTGAAGAGGAACAGGAATCGGTCTTTGACCGTGTTAGAGTTCGCTACTTGCAAGACAGCAGAGGACTGTATGAGTTTGCGAGGTGGCTCGTCGGTCACATTAGCCCACATCGGGCTCCTGGGGCCGCGGGCTAGCATCTCATCCAGGCGTTCCAGTACAACCGCGCCTTGAGAATTGAATTCCTCCCGTGGACTAGAGGGCGTGTTAGAGGACAGGCCGGAAGATGACTCCGAGGTAGAACGAGTAGGGTACTCGTCAACGGACGAAAACGGCTCAGGAGTGGTAGATGGTGGATCAGGCGGAGAGGAGACAGATTGCATGTCCGACAAGGTAGAAAGAACTTGTGCAGCTCGACTAGTGCCGTTCATTCCCGAAGACATTTTCGAAGGATCGGTCAACAGAGGTCGGACGTTGGGGGACATCTGGCCAGTCTCCACAGCCCGACCTTGAAGAGTGCTCGTATTGCTGTCCGTTCGAGACTGTCCTAGCTCCTCCAGATCAGATGCGAACTCGTTATCCCTGCGGCCGCGAAGTAGATCAGACAAAGACGGCTTCTTGTTCGCTCCAGCCGACCTCGGCTCGAACGCGGGCGGAGAATATTGCTGCGAGTTGGGTGACAGGGGTGTCGATGGTTGGGAAGAGAACACCAGCTTGTCCTTGAGCCACTTCTTCACGCCTTCTCTAGTAGTCGGCAGTTTACTGGTAGAACCGCTAGCCTGATGCGTCAAGGTCCCCGCGGGCAAAGTCTTGAAGTACTCGTAATTAGATGAGGAGGAAGGGGCTTGGGAGATGGGAGGTGACGCAAGGGTGTTAAACTTGGATAGCAAGCGAGAGTCAGACGCCTGGTGGGATAACTTGCGATCCCTTCCGGGCACTGGGGAGCGGGCAGGCTGTGTAGAAGAACTGGAAGATGAGGGAGTGATCTGGTCAACGGAGAGACCCTGACTGAAGGACGGCGAGATTATATCGGGAGAAGACGCGGATGCAGACATTCCTCTGGCCCTATTTCTCTCTTCCTCGAGTTTCTTCATGCCAGGGAATGGGAACAACTTCGCGTCCTGGTACTTTGCAAGATCTGCCGAAGATGCGGGAGGAACGGGAGAAACGCCATTACGCGGAGGTGGCTGTGGAGCGAGGGACAAGAAAGACGCAGATGCGGAGGGCGACTGCATTAACGCGGGCGGCTGCGCCTGTTGGATGGCGAAGATACTATTCTCGCCCTTATCTAACCTTGCACTCGTCTGGCTGGCACCGCTCTCGCGACTAACACTGGAATCGGTATGGTCTCTTCTATTTTCTCGCGTGCTGACGCTGTTGGTGCGAGACCGTCGACCATTCTGGGAGTTGGTTCTCGTGAAAGGCCGCTTGAACTTATCCCACATACCGCCGTCAGCTGACCGCTTCGACGTGACATGCGATTCTCCCAGCCCACTCAAGTCAATATGGGGTGTCGGGGTGTCCGGTAGCTCTTTTTGAAGGTGGGGGAAGCCAGGAAGGAGAGAACGAGGAGAGTAGGTAGGGGACGAGGTCAGGTCATCGCTGATAGGGTGCGCGAGGGATGATGATGGCAACTTCAAAGGAGCTGTGGCAGGGGGAGACGGAGGGATGTAGGACGGCGTAGGCTCGGCTGACGTGTCTGTTTCGACAATCAACTCTCTGGAGCCTGTTGAATTGCGGTAACCCATGTCTGGCGGGGAAGACCTGCCATCCGGATGTTCCCGCAGATCAATCTCCCGGTCCTTGTCTTCGTCGTCCTCATCATGGATTGGTATCCGGGATTCAGGTACTGATGCCACACCGTGAATATACGAATAGGTTGGGTAGCAATAAGGCGCGACTCACCTGGTTCGGCTGCCCAACTAATTTCCCGTTCGTAAATGTCAGTGTACGGGAGCGATTCAGAGACTTCACCATTTCGGATCAGGTTGATTACTGCAGTGACAGGAGATGTCGGACTTACTTGAATGCGGGACCCAGCTGAGCTCTCGGTCATTGGTGACTCTGTTAGTCCACATACTTCCGCCCATATCAGGCTCATACAGCACCTCCTCATCTTCATCATCCCGAGAGTCGTCATGCGACACCTTCTCCCTCAGCGGTGTGCTGAACGGGCTACTGGGGAACACATCCGCGCCCATCGCCGTCTTACCAGATAGAAACACGGGCACACCAACAGCACCTTCTGACGATACAGTTGATGGCGCGTCTGATGTATGTGCCATACGAACGCCTCCCTGCGACCGCCGGGGCGTCGTAGGCAGCCCCATAAAAGCTGGCCTGGGCGGGGGAAAGTGATCGTCTTCGTCTTCCACAACCACGCTACGCCGCGGCCTGGTCTGCTGGACTGGTGTCTTCACTTCCGCTGTCGGTGTATGCGCATCAGCCTCCTGCTCGAGGTCGGGTGCAGCTCTCGGTAAGTCTGGGGTGCGAGCGGAGCGGGACGAGGGAGGTCGTGGTGGGTCGGGTACGCTATCCACCGAAGCCGGGGCAAGGGATGGAAGCGGCGTTGACGGCGTATTGGGAGTAGTCGAAGACAGATCCCTGTCGTCTACAACGGCGGAGGCACGCGACGCACTCCTGCGTCTTGACCGGCGTTTCGTTCGTCGTCCGGGTGACGGGGGGACTGGAGCTTCCTCGCCACCGCTGGTCAGCTCCGCATCCGTCTTTTCCAGTCGTCCCCCGATGACATTTAGCATGGCCCGGCGGGCAGCCGATCGGTCCCCGCCAACACCTGTCACTGTGTTATTTCTCCCTAAGCTTCCGTAACGTCCGGCCGACAAGGGTGGTGTGGGGGACGGAGATATGTAGGGTTCCAGCGGTTCCTTGCCCCCCGTAAGCTTGTGCATAGCCAACATCCTGTTCGTACTATTGGATCTAAAAAGACCCTGTCGGATGGCCTCAAGCGACGGTAGTGGGGTAGACGGAGAGCTTCCGGGATACATGAAGGGGGAGTCGGGAGATCGCAGGGCTTGCACAGCTTGCAGTTGCGCAAAGTGGGACGGGATAGGAGATACAAGCTGTGGGGGAACGATGAAAGGTGTATGTGGGCGGCCCTCATCAGCGGAAGACTCGTTGGCGTACAGTGCCGCACTATTCGGGACGGGGGAAGGAGAAGCGAGAGCTCTGGACTTGCCCTTCAAGTCCTTCGAATTTCTTGACCGCGAACGTGACCTAGAGCGTCGTTTCTTCTTCGCAGGGGAGGGTTCGGGCTCGGGTTCAGGTCCCACGTCTGCCTCAGCCTCGGGATCGACGTCCGCTTCCGCTTCCGGCGCTCCTGGCTGGTCCTGCTCATCGGGTTCCCCGTCCGGCGCTGCGGACTGTGGCGGCGGATCCGTAACAGGCGTATCAGCCTGCACAGCGAGTTCTCCGTCTTCGGCTGCAGCACCCCCCTCCTCCTTCTGCTCCTCCGCCTGCACCTTCTCCCCCTCGCTGACTGCTTCGACGTGCATGGGCGGGCGCCTGCCGTCCTTCATCCGGGGCAGCGACGCAGCCCGCTTAAGTTTGGCGATCGCGACGGCGCGCTGTTCGGCTGCTCTTGACTGGTCCATGTTCGCGTCCTACTCCCGATACTGGCAATGTGAAGGGCCTGTGCACCCTGCATAAATTTCGGAGCGGTAAATTGCTGACCTCCCGCAACTCCCGCAGTTCGGGGTGTACTCCCCGGATAAGGCGACGTCTGCAACATGTCAGAAACTGCGAGATACGACGGCAAACGAGCTGCAAACGACGTACAACTGGGCTCGAGGAATGGACGGCCACGATGTGAAAGGTAGTATAACGACGGTCAACGGGGCCAACCTTGAATGCTATAAGAGCGCCCACGTGGGCGCGTCCGTAAATGGCAATGGGCTTCGAACTGGCCCTCGAGGGACTTCACGCCAATCACGGGTTGGTGAACGCCTCGCTTGCGCCTCGAGGATATGTGATGCTCTCTCTCTACTCTATACATCGTAGCGTGAGTCTACAGCGTGCTCTGATATACGCCCCTAAATAGCGGGGCAGTGTCTACAACGACCGTGCCATGCCTTTGCGAGCTATCTCTGTTTGCCTGCTCTGCTGCGAATATGGGAGTCTGGGGGAGTGTGCTACGATGTCGACAACGGTGCCTGCTGGGATATGACCGAACCTTCAACTGCTAACTACGCAAGAGGCGCATCTCGAGGCTCTGACCCCAGGGCTCGATCGTTTCCGAAACTTTCGTGAACCTACAATCCTAAACGAGAACGGGCAAGCTTACCCTTGCATGTGGTCTGAGCTCTAAAACTGCTATCTGTGGCCTCATCGTGTGGCGCTCAGGGCGTATTCAGGCCTCTCTCCGTTCGTCCGCGGGTTCTAAGCAGAGATCCTTGGAGATTGGCCGGCCTACGAGTCATTCAGAAGCCCGGAAGCTTTCATACAACGCTACTCGAAGTTTCCGCGCGTATGATGACTTGCCTGCCCTCGAGGAGCCGATTTGCTGGTATTTATCCCAGGAACTAGAAGAGTTGTTCTTGCGTTCATGTATGGGCACTGTTCTATCGTCCTGTCCCTTTGCGCGTGCAATATGACCGGCCCTTTCATAAAACCAGTATGAATAATTCATCCATGCGAGTCTACTCTCACTCTATCTAATAACACGTCATGCGCTGGTACCTGCCATCATGCCTTCCCATTGACTTGACTAGTCAGCCCTTCTACGGCGTCCGCGATGTCCTTCCACGCCGGTCTGGACAGTTCGAAGCCATCACCCAGCCTGGCGTACGTCTGCCCACCGAACCGGGCAACAGGCCGAAGCTTCTCCGGATCGACGGTGTTGCCCCCTTCAGCGAGCACTGCGTTTCGAATATGCACTCTCTTGATGAGCCCCAGGATGAATGAGTTGGTCACCAGATCGGACCCTGGCGGACAGATGTCCTGGAAGTGGAAAAGCTTGAGGGGGGCACTGTCAGCTCGCGGAAGGTGCGAAGAATCAGATAGTTACCTCGCACTCCAAGCTGACAGCGCTCTCCTTCACCCGGGGCGGCTTCACAATGTCCTATATCCAGCCGAATTAGATCTAATTCATTGATGGAACACAGCTAGGCATGGAACTCACGCTAGGCACCCTCGTCAATCCGCTTAGGATCCATTCGTCGATCTCCGGCGGCGCATCTACAGAACAGACATTGGCAGCTTCGATCCACGGCTCACTGATGATGTTGACCGTGAATTCCTTCGTCGCCTTGATGTTATCTCTGGTGTCTTTCGGCTTCACTTGCGGCAGGGTGAAGGCGATGCTGATTAGCGGTGGGTTATCTGCAACCTAATTCACCTTAAGCACGCGTGTCCTGGATTCGGTCCGGAGCCCTACTGACCATTGAAAAGTAGCTGAAATAGGTATCAATGTGAAATATCTCAGTAGATAGATGCACTGTCTCTTACCTGAAGGGAGCAAGGTTTGGGACGCCGTCCGCTGACAGGGAAGATACGAACGCGATCGGGCGTGGTCCAATCGCGCTCGTCAGCAACTTGTATCTGTCCCTGCACATACACGGCCCGCTCCATCTATTCCTCGCATTCAAGGTACGCAGAACTCACCGCGACGGCGTCTTATCCATGTCCCAAGTCTTCCAGCCCTTCTGCTCGTCTTTCTTCCACTGTTCTGCCTGCGGGTTCGTGGCCTGCAGACCATCGCCGAGCTTCCACGCCGGATTCGGGGACTCCGTGTACTTGAACGACGCCGTCGCGTCGAAGGGTGGGCGGGAAGACATCGTTCGTCGAGAGGCTTTTGGACTTGCACTTGTTAAGCGGCTGCAGAGCGCCCTTTCCACTAAGCTATTTGAGCGCAGTTGTTTCCCAATAGGGGTCCGAAAGCTTGAGATGGATGAGTAAACCATGGCAAAGTGGATGACAGCGCGCTGGGAAACGGTGTGAAATTGCGTCTTGAGCTATCTTGAACACTGACGAGCGGTGCAACGGGGTACGTACATTCAACCTTCACCTCGTTCGGCGACGGTGATTCCAAAGTAGAAGAGGTCCAGCGGAGTCAGGGTGCAGGTCAGTACGGTGCACCCCGCTCGTACTCGTGATGCCCAGCTTATGTTGATTATTTCACCCCCGCATCATAAGTTTACCCTATGAAAGGTGAACGCCCAAATAGCATAGTCGCATTCGCATTTCCCATGTCTTTGCATGGGCGAACAAATGAGAGCGTCGATTTGCCACAAGTAGAGACATATACAGTCTAAGAGATTGATGATTGGCGTTGGCTGCGAAGAGGTTGGTCGTCTTGAATGTGTCCGACCGTCCGAAGTGACGCCGGCCAAGTTGGTACGATTCACGCGTCGAAGTCCAAGTCCACAGTGCAGGCTTGCCCGAGGATGACACACACAATTGGTAAACCGGAACGGTCGATGCGAGAGCGCCGCACTACATTCCGACCCGCATCCCCTTCCTTCCTTTCTTGAGACCATGTCTGCGTTAGATTCTACCCAGCATGACTCTACGAACATCAGAGGGTTTTATGCCTACACTGATACCCTGAAGGGTGTCTTCTACGGTCCGGGATCGGTGAATACCGCCCTGCCGAAGCTCCTGGACACTCTGAATGGCACGAAAGCGCTGATTGTCACCGGGAAGTCTTTGCACGACAAGGTACGCCCCTAGGGATTCCTCCGGACTTCCTGTGCTCATATGATCACTGACCTAGACGGATGTAGTCAAGAAGGTAGAGAATGTCCTTCGTGAGCGCGGGGCCTACGGAACGACCTTCTGGGAGATCGGAGAGCACGCTCCTGTCGCAGGCATCCGCAAGTGCATCCAGGCACTCAAGGAGTGCGGCGCAGACATTGTTGTCTCTGTCGGAGGCGGGTCTCCCGTTGACGCCGCCAAAGCGGTCATCTACTTTCTGCAGAAGGATAGCGGCGGTTCTTTCCTACCCCATGTAGCCATTCCGACTACGCTCAGTGCCGCTGAGTATACGGTATTGTTTCCTTTCTACTCGCACGATTGGAGCATGCTGAAGTACCGATGATTAGATAGGCGCGGGCTACACAGAAGACAACGGGCACAAGGTCGCAGTCAGCGACCAGAGACTGGCTCCTGCCGGAATTATCCTGGACGCTGAGTTAACTCTCGCTACTCCGGAACGGCTATGGTACAAACATCCACATCTACTCAAGAGTTATGTAGATTAACGAGGCTTTTAGGCTGTCCACGGGTATGCGTGCCATGGACCACGCAGTAGGTAAGGTCATATCAGAGCACCTTGGTCTTCATCATTAATTCACTTCCGTGGCAATGCAGAGAATCTGTACAGGCCGCTGGTGATACCGCCCATGAAAGTGTTATGTTACCAGGCTTTGGCCGACCTTTTCAAATACCTACCACTGTCCAAGGCCGATCCCAGCAACCTTGTGTACAGACAGAAATTGCAGGTCGCCTCGTGGATGAGTCTCTGGCCCGTAAAGTTTGAGAAGTACAGGTGCGCAGAATTATTGACCGGTCTATTAGAAACCGGCGCCGATACTACGTAGTGCTTTGGGCATATCTCATGCTTTAGGACATAAGCTGGGTGCAAGATATCATATCCCACACGGGATCACCTCTGTAAGTCTGCGATCACTGTTGCGCGTGCTATGCTCAGCTTTACTTACTTCTGGCAGTGTCTAACCTTGGCGCCCACCGTCGCCCTGAAGGCCGAAACGGCGTCGCAGGAGGATAAGGAATGGTTAGCTGGAGCGCTGTTCCACCTCCGTCAGCCTTCCACAGGCTCGGTCGAAGGCGATGTGCTCCAGCTGTCGAAGATCATCGACAAGTGAGTGGCAAGCCATACTCTCCCCTCAGATAAAATCCATAACTGGGAATCTCTTTTAGGCTTGTCGTGGACCTCGGTCTGAAGAGCACCCTTGCTCAATATAAGGTGCCCAGGGAAGATCTTCCTGACATCGCAGAGCGGGCTATGGATGGGAGGAGTGATCCCACCTTCCCCAAGGTAGTCCAGTTATTGGAAGGGATCTATGAGTAAAGGCGCACATACGCATGACAAAACCAAGCTCGCAGCATCGTTGGTCACTTTACTGTGTTGCCTCCCATGATTGTAGAAATATTACTACTCTACACCGACTCGTGCTGCGTTGATAACGCAGGCGGCTAATGGGCCGAGACCAATCGTCATCGATCCATCGCTCGCCAGAGTTGCGTTGGGGTTGCGGGACAGGAATGGCGGCATCGGCGCCCCCGCCGTCGAGCACGGCGTCTCTGAGTAGTACCCTGCGCAGAGGACATAGGTCGTCTTCGCTTGCATCCGTTTCGTCCTGTCTTTGTGCATCAACGGTACCGCCCCAGTCCTGACCGACGCCAATTCTGTCGGTCCCGCCACCATCTTCCCAGCGAACGTGGTCCTGTATACATAGCATCATATATGCTCGGATGTCGGCGTGTGCCCCAGGTCAGCCGCAAGTGCAAGCCCGCAGTTCATTCCTTGGCCAAAGTATTTCCTAGGCGACATCTCACGTATCAGGCCGCCGGGGTCTCTCTTCTCTTCTGGACCGGCCCACTATATACGCCCCGCAGCCAGCTGGAAGGCTGTTTGCATTCACCAACATCCCTGTTTGTGAAGTATCTAAGCCCTAGGATTATGGCCACGCGGAGATCGCATACAACCCAGAGTAAGGGGAAGGTGCCGGAGCACCATGACCACGACCATGAACATGAGCACGAGCACGAGCATGGGCATGAACACGAAGCAGGCCATAAACATTCTCATTCCATATTCAGTACGCATACGCATTCAATAGAAGAGCGGGGGCAGGGCGCGGAGCGGATCATGCAGGCTCTGAAAGGCGGAGGTACGTGATCGTTGTATGTCCATCTGCTACGTGGTACGCGTCATTCGAGGCTGAACGCGTTTGTGCAGGAGATCGCGGGAGCCAAATCACTCTCGTAGGACTCTTCTCCAATGTCGCACTGACGGCGTCGAAAGGAGCGGCGGGATGGTTCATGAACTCCGCTTCCCTCCTAGCAGAGGCGGGCCATTCACTGAGTGGTGCGTGCGCCCCCTGACGCGTCCAGTCCGACGTGTTCACGCGTATATCAGATTTATTGGGCGACTTCGTCACCCTGTTTTGCTGGAAACTCTCCCGAAGGCCGCCATCTGAGCGATATCCCTTTGGTTTTGCGAAATTTGAGACACTGGGCACGACTATCATGTCTCTCCTTCTCATCGGAGGTGCCCTGGGGATAGGCTACCACTCGTACTACCTTCTGGTTGATGCCCTGGCGGAGACGGCTGCAGCACTTCCCCCAGGCCCTACTCAGTCGGTCCTACACAGCGTCAGGGAGGCTGCGCAGCAATTACCTATCCCGCCTGTTGGTCACGCCCATGAACACGTCCTCGACCCGAATGCTGCATGGTTCGCAGCGCTCAGCGTGGGCGCGAAGGAATGGCTGTATCGGGCGACGAAGAAGGTCGCAGATGAGGAGAAGAGTCCTGTACTATTGGCTAATGCCGTCCACCATCGGAGCGACGCATACTCAAGCGCAGTCGCGTTAGCCGCAATCTTGGGGACTTGGTGGTTCCCTGCCCTGCCGCTAGATCCAATAGGAGGTCCGTTAGTTCATTGCTCCTCATCGTTCACAGCCAAACTGATGTTTATGTAGGCTTGCTCATATCCATCGTCATCCTACGACAAGGAGTCCAACTCCTGGGCGGCGCATTCGGCGATCTAACCGACGCTAGTGTACCTCTGCGTTCACGGACAGCTATGCTGAAAGCACTAGAGCCCCTCCTCTCTACATACCCCAGCGATCCAGCTATCCAGAAGCAGGTCGAGCAACAGATGCTCGTAGCCATTCGCTCCCTCCGCGCCAGGCGCGCGGGTGCGCTGGTCTTCGTAGACCTGATCGCGGATGTGCCGAGGACTATGAGTGTGGCGGAGACGGCAGATCTGGAGAAGAAGATATCGAGTACGTTGAAAGAAGCGAGAAAGGAGGTCGCGGAAGTTAGAGTACGATTCAACCCCGTAGACGAGCAGTCCGCCAACGGCCATACGGATTCCAAGTCATGAACACTGTAACTTATTATTCTGCATTCTCTAATGATATCTCAAGGAATCTTGTGAAGCGCACGCTGCCTCCAATACACCCCGAGGAGGCGATGGGTTAGATATCCATCTGAGGGTATTCATTGTATAATACACGAAACGCGAGGCCGATCCACGGCGCCTTCCAACGTAACAGAACATATATATAACTTATAAGCAGTAACATATAATCTCGAAATCCAGTCAGTTCAAGAGCATTATAGCAACACCTGCCCAATCTTACTTTATAGCGTCGCCACCAATAACTCGCCCTTCTATCTGCTTTCATACGACACAGTCATTGTCTCTGGCGGAGCGATAACAGTGGTGAGATACACCTGATCAGAGGGCTCAGAGTGAAACGTCTGGCTTCGGTTGAATCGCGCTTGGACAGCCTGCCGACAATTGACGCTGCATGACCGGTCAGTCATCCCGGCTCTATGTCAGTCAGGAAATAGTTGGCTCACGCAGCAAGCATGCAAGCGACATCGACTGGTTCGTGGGAGGGGGGGGTTAGGGAGGAGATACGGGATATGTTGATGTGCGACGCACCTTTCCCGAGCACGTAATAAACGCCTTGGAACAGGAATGTTCCCGGAAATGCTTCGAGCTGCGACGATCATAATCCATCAGGGAAAGGAACGGTGTGCAATATTCTGCTAGCTGACGCACCACAACGATGTACAATATTTGCACCAGCCTGGCAAAGAAACAAAAATGTCAGCCAATGACGAGCGAGCATACCCCGCTGTAACTGCTAACATCGCCAGCAAGCCCGTGACGATCGTATAGGTGATGAGATTATTGATGAGAGATCTATCCAGCGAGGGCCACTCAGCGAATGAAGATAGCAGAGGACAGGGGGGAGCATTAGCGTACTTGGAACTTCCGACGGCGCGCTCGCGGGATGCGCGGAGCAGGATGTACATCCCGATTGTGATGCTGACATCCGCAAAGGTGAGGAGCACCGTGGAAGAAAGGAAACGCCACTATGCGGGGGCTCAGGTTGGTAGAAAAACCGGAGGGGGTAGTCATATTGCGTACCCGGAGGGAACGGTATGTTGGTGAAGAGGGATCCAGGTTGGAGAGGCTGAGGTGGTTGTCATACCTGATAACAGGATGTGATTAAGTGTATATGGTACCGAAGGTCGATGAGAACATACATTATGGGGAGAAAACCTGGAGCGGATGAGTCTCGTGAATAATAATCATCGGACACAGACGGCACTCACTGTAACTGATCCCTGTACATGCGCATCCGCTAACTGAATACAAATGTAGAAAGGGTTTTTATTGGAACATACCGAGAGCACTGAAGAGTAATATTGGCTGCGAATTGTTGGAGATCAATAGGCAACGCAGAGAAAAGGAGGACGCATGAGTGTCGTATACGCATACCAGTATTAACGTGACTTTATTTCTTCCAACTATAGAGATGGTCAGACAACGTCAAAGAATACGCGACAACACCAATTCGTTGCTTACATATCCACAACCGGTAGACGTAGAAGCTTGAAAGACAACGCTATATGGTCAAATAACGCAGCTGCAAAGCTTAGTGCGTGACGTTACCATTTCGCGAGGAGACTGCAGAAATTCTTTGGGGGGACGTTTGTCCACGCGTTTCAGAACAAAGATGAACAGCAGCGGGCGTACCTGAGGTATAGTCATGGCCTACCAGCATCGATTAAGCATGGAACGGTGCGGTGTGGGTACCAACAATAACTTACCGATGTACTCCTACAGAGTGGAAACGTAAGTCCTGTAAGTAACCGGAGTTATACGAGGCCTTACCAGACATCTCTGATGCATCCATTGCCTGCGCATTTCGTAACGGCGTAGTACCATTGTGAATGTACCCCGAAGCATGAAGCCACAGTGTCAGCCTATAATATCTGAGCTATTTGACAGGAGTATCTTCAAGTACAGTAACATACCACCCAGACGGCCAGTACCTACAACATTGAACTTTCAACTATTGACACGGCTAATACTAGAGATATGTACACTGACGAGTGCTTTCATGGTCCGTCCATCGTCTCGGTAAGTGGTGTAATAGTGATATACTTGGCCGCAGTTGATCCCGTACAGTCTATATTATGCATTCAATGGTAAGTAGAGACAAAGACGGTGAGGGTGCGGTGTACTAACACTGTAGAAAATAGGAAGCCAATAAAAGCCGCACCTAATGTCAGGTCAAGATTCACGCCGCTTGACATACTCAGTCAAGGCTTTGGTCGGGGGAAAGCATGGAACGACGCGTCTCGTATAGCGGGACGCGATGGTAGAGTCGAGGGGCGCTCTACCCTGGCATAGGCATGGACGAGCAGGGCAACAAGCCAGAGATCCAAGCCGAGTTTTGGCCGGGGACGCCACAACCGGCACATGCGATGGCCGAAGGGCGTTTACCACTGCGTGTCCTGAAAAATAATGACCAGCCGTTACATGGCCGATTGTCCACTTTCCGGCCACTTTTAGATCAGAGTTGCCGGCCAGCCAAAATGTGGCTGTTTGTCCACTTTTCGGCAACACATATTGGCCATGAGATTCCGTCCAGACAATACATGGTCATTATGTTGACTGTTGCAATGGCCGTAAAGTTATCACTGCATATTTCAGACAGTATGTTGGCTGGCCAAAATGTAAATGCTAGCTAATGGCTGTCTGTTTGCCTGACCAGGAAGTGACAGTCCGAAAAATGGCCGGAATTCAATAAGCCATCCAGTTTCCAGCAATTTAACGGCTGGCCGTGAGATAACCCCAACACGCAGTGTACTCCGAGCCTCCTTCATCACGGATCCGCAGTGTGGAAATCGTTGTGCCTTACTTTCGCCATAGTTGATAACGTCGCCTTTGGACAGCGTTGGACGTGCGAGCTGTCTTCCAGATGGAGGACTTAATCTGTCATGTCTTCGTGGTACTGAATCCACTAACTACGGGATGCTGGAGGCCCGTGCGCTCTCGAAGCTCGCATACATGTATGCATCCATCAGATACACAGAAATGGATGATTCTTTACTCTTCTTTACATATTACACTGTTACATAGCTACCTTGGGCACGTCAAGTGGAGCTCCCTAGAGCATCAACCAGCTTAGCCCATCTACCGCCGTGCCAGCTTGACAACTGCCTCCACTCATCGGAATTCTCGCCATGTATACGCTTGATGCTCAACGTATACGCGGCAACTATAATGTCTGCCCATGAAGGTGTATCGCCCATCAGGTATAGCTTGTCTTCCCCAGCCTTCGCATACCAGCCATTGACAATGTCGAAGCCAGCCTTCGCAGCCTTCATCTGCTGCTCTCGCTTCGGTCCAGGGGGACAGACGTCGTCCAGCTTTCCCCACACTGCTTCTCTCGTGCGGATGAAGTATTCTTGACTCGGAGGGTTCAGGAATTCGGAAACGCGCTTGAGGATTGTAGGGTGCAAGACGCTCCTCAAAGCGGTATCCGTGACCGCTTTGAAGAACGCGGCCTGCAGGCCCTCGGTGCCCGCAGGTATAAGAGGCCGAGGGGCAGCATAATGTGCATCCAGGTATTCCGCGATGGCATACGAGTCCGAGACAACAGCGTTCGTGTTGGGATCTTTGATGACCGGAAGCGTGTAAAGGGGCTTGCCGTCCCTTTGACCAGTGGGCGGGGCACCGATCTTGTGGCAATGAGCCGCGATGTCAGGATACTCGACCCAGACTGTCTTGTACGGTAAGCCCTTGAACTCTAGCGCAAGTCTGCGTGGATCAGTCGGGACAGTCCTCATCGTCCTTGTCACACGATTTGCTTACCTCGCTTTCAAGGTGTTTCCTGACCAACCTCCCTTCTCTAGCTCCTGCCGCGGAATATCATAGAGGATGATCTCCTGCTGCGCCATGACACTGTTTTGTTCCGCTGCGCTGATATCTAGGTGATATGAGGGCGGTGTGATATATATATCTGTCTCAATGTCCGATGACCACAGGCAGGAACAGTGACCGGAGGCAGGATAATTTGGGGCAGTGACTCCTTCTGTTATCAGCTGCTCATATGTCCTTGAATGCAGTGCTTCCGGCACTCCATCACGGATTCTATCGTCGTAATCCGGACCTTTGCAATATTAATTGGGTCGAAGCCGGTGTGATTGATACAATGTGCTACGAGGACAGGATTCTCTGCCCGGAGAAGGTGCTTGATAATCCAAGCTCTCACAGCTGACGATTACGATCTCTCTGATAGAGATCATAATCCATCAGCTGCAGGCGAATTGTAAGCACCTGACCTTCCCAAAGAACAAGGCTTATAAGAGTGGACGATCGAGCAGCGCGTCCACGCTTATAAGACTCAAAAGACGTTTCTCCTAACTCCGGCGGAAGCACCGGGAACACCGCCAGCCTTGTAGGGTAGTAGAGTACGGAGCCTCCAGAAGACTCCGGCGGTAGCACTGGCCCCAGCCGTAGCGTCGCGTGGACCGACGTACCAAAATAGACAGCTGCCAAAAGGGGACTGATGGCGCCCACCGACACGATGACATCACAGTGCCGCCGTGCCCGACGCTGGTTGTCGCTGTTCCCGACGACGTCGGCAATAGGTAGTGTGTAGCACCTCGAATAAAATCGTATAAAATTC